TTTTTCAAATTTGGTTTTGTTGCATTTCTTTTGATTAGGTCATTAATTTTCTTTTTTTTATTCAAATTTGTTTTTTTTAATATTGGTTTGTTTCCTTTTCCTTGCTATTTTCTCTTTGGTTTATGTATGAACATGTTATTTTGGTTTTTGAATTAGTGTTTTTATCACATAATTTGGTTGGTTTGCTTTTGATTTATGACTCTAATTAGTTTGGTTTGGTTGTTTTGGTCTCATCTCATGCTTGCATTTGTTCAAAGTTGATGAGAAAGGTTTGTGTGATGGTTTTATTTTTTTAGAGTGGTATTGATATATATGAATTGTACTTGAAGCTCACTTATAACCTTATACCTATTGGAATATGTGACGTGTTCGTGCAATGTAACATTTAGAGAAGGTGACACTAGTAGTTACAATGAGAGAAAATCCAGTGGTTTGTTGTATCATTACATGTCATTGCAATGAATCTTATGTTGAGAGTTTATTTAGGTAAAAAGCTAACAAGCCTTGTCATAATACAATTTTCATCTTTTACTATGTGTCGTACAAAAAGGCGGATAAACGTAATAGATACTAATGAAACTATGGTTGTGCTATAAGTCACCACAAATGACTAGGAAGATGCCCATTACATTGCCATTGTATTACTCGGGTCTTTGCCTTGATCACCATGATAATAATTAGACAAATCAAAACTAATTGCAAATGTAACAATGCTTATGCGTGTGGTTGCAACTAGATAAGTCGAACTTACTTTCTTGAATGTAATAGTTTTTTTCAATAAACATCTTTTCAAATGCAAAAAAGTGTTATTAATTACTATTCTATTCTATCAAGGCATGTAATTTATAAAGGAAAGGATTTGAATGAGCCATTTTCAATTAGTCAAATTATTCATGTTGTAATCATGTTTCTTTTTTTTATCTTTTTTTTTCCTCCAAGCTTTTCTAAATAAAATATAAACTTATGATTTTACCAATGAATTAAAATTTTCTTATATTGGTAAGTTTGATTTTCTTGCATAGAACACGAGTCCATAAACAAAAAACCAAATTAAATAGTGTATTTAAAAACCCGACTTAATGAAAAATTTAGTAGTTAATTTTTATATTTAAATCTTAATTTTAGAACTTATGTAATAACCAAAATTTGCTCATTTTTATAATAGCCCAAAATTCTTATTTTACTTATTATTTATGTCTTATTTTATTTAGTTTCATTTCATATTGGACTTTATTACAAAAAACCAAAAAAAATAAAAAAATGAGAAAAGATACAAAAAAAGAAAGTAATGAAAATGCAAGAAAGAGGAAAATAGGTAGAAAATATAAAAACATTCATCGAGGGGCACAATTGCATTTAAAGTAAGATATAATTAATGTAATTAGGGATATAATCAAACCAATTGAAAGATTCAAAACCTAAATTGCACCATATATGGACCCAATTGATAAGACTGCACCTTATAAAGACTAAAATTATACCACGGAAGGACGTGATTGTTGACAATTGAAATGCACATGGACTAAATTAGAATTTTGGAGCGGACGATAAGATTAAAATGGAGAAAATGACTTGTCGTACACCCCGATACGGATGCTCTTCGAAAATTTTTCAAAAAATCGCCTAAATCCTCTACAAATTTCCTATTTTGATTCTATATTTATCACGATTCTTGACTGAATTAATTTTAACGAGAGGATCATGCGGCCATCAATCCCCTTTCCTTGTTGATTAGCTAAGCTGAATTAAAGAGGAGATTTTTTATAGAAAAATTCAAGATTGAGGTTTTGATTCTAGGAAAAAATAAAGCAAATTTGTACCTATAAAAAGGGTCTCAATTCACGGACAAAAAGGGAGAAAAAATAGAGTGGAATTCTATCTTGAGAGGGAGTGAAAATCAAAGATTTTCTTTGGGGAAATAGTTGTTGCGTTTTCGTGGGTTTTACGGCGATAACGAGTTTGTTTTTCGTGTTCTTCATTATTCTTCACCTCGGATTTTGATTTCATCTTTTTTTAGAGTCGTTGCTTGATCTTTACGGGTTTGGGTGCAATTACGCAAGTCTTTTAACCTTAATTTCGGGATTTGAAGTTTCAATTGACATTTTTTGGGTTTTCCTTCAAATTTGCTCGGGCATGCGTTGTTCTTTGTTCTTGACGTTCTTCATTCTTGATGTTCTTCAAATTTATGGGTTGATAACCTTCGAGTTTCTAGGGTTTCGATTTTCTTTGTTTCGGATAAGGGAAGAATAGGACATCAAATCATCATTCTCGGCCTACACCAACCGGATATCACGCAATCTCTTCTTCAAACACCCGCAAACAAATCAATCACGGCAACACAAATAGATCCCATCACTCCCCTTCGTCCGAGCATCGCTCGGGTAACTAATCTTGCACTTTTCGTTTGTTAAATACCTAGGTCCTTTTCCATTTAAGCAGAAGGAAGGGTTAGTGATCGATTCAACGGCCCTTGATAAGTCCTCTTCTCTAATCCTTAGGAGTGTCATACTCATATCATCACAACGAACCAATTTTTGAAACTTTAGTTAGGGGGACGGAATGAGAGGGTGAACGTGAGTGCGAGAGAGAGCGAGGCGAGGAGGATAAAAGAAAAGGGCTGGATTGCAATCAATCCATCCCAAACCCTTTTATCAAAAAAAAAAAAAAAAAGGGAAAAGGAGAAAGCAAAAAGAGGGTTGGATCGAGTGTTGTCCGGCCCGTGCCAAAACAAAAAAAAAAAAAAGTAAGAGAGCTGGACATTCAGCCCTCTCCCAAAAAGGAAAAAATGAAGAATGGAGGTTGGAATCGAGTCCAAGCACCTTCCAAAAAAATAATAAAAAAGAAATAGGTATCATTAGAATTACTTTAGGACATGATATTATTTGTTTTTTCTTTTAGCCTAATTATTTTTTATTTCTTGTTGCATTTCTTGCATTAATTTAGAATTGATGTCCTAATTTCTTCTTCTTCTTCTTCTTTGTATGTTATTAGATTAATATAAAATAATAAAAAATGAAAATATCTAAAATTTTCGACGAAGTCTCCTATCTAATAGGGATCGACGTCACTAAAAAAAATATCTAAAATTTTCAACGAAGTCTCCTATCTAATGGGGATCGATGTCACCAAAAGAATATCTAAAATCTTTGACGAATTCTACTATTTGATAGGGATTGACCTCACTTTTAAATATATATCTAAAATTTTTGACAAAGTCTCCTATCCGATAGGGATCGACGTCACCAAAAATCATCGTTTAATCGGGATGCCCTCCGACATACCGATAGTGTCAAGGCTTATAGTGGATCCGATGTTTGAGCCGATGTGTAGCCCAACGAATGGAACCAACGATCATTTCAATACGATGCCGTGCCCAAAACTAAAAATTCAATTTAGATTTAAAAGATAGGAGTTTAGAAATCAAAAAATAAGTTGACATAAATAAAACCTTATAGGAGATGAACTTAGAATTAAACCATACGTAGTATCTTTTTTAAAAATGACACTTTTGAATAATTAAATATCTTTCTAAAAGTGTAACCAACTCCTTGTCATAGAGTCTTTGAACCGAGTGTCTATTTTAGGTTTCTAGTTCCTTCAATACTAAGTGACGACTCCAAAACATCTAAATAACTTTGTAAATAATAATTAACATGTAAATTTATTTTTTTGAGAGTCTCATCCGACGTCGGATAGTGACAACTTATATTTTATAAATTTATAATAATATTACAAGTAATTGAAAGCAATCTATCCATTAGGGAAAAAAAAGACTTACATATCGATAATACTATGCTAAAATTTCCCTGGAGCAAAACCCGGGCAATCACACTAGTCATGAACTAAGAGAATAGCATGCACTATAATAATCAAGGTACAAAACAATTTTAGAAGAAGGGGTTTTTAAGCTATTTGACTAAGAACAAAATAAGTATTTTTTAGAGTTTAAAAAAAAAAAAAACTTTTAAAGATAGAACGGTCAATTTATTTAAAAAAAAAATGTCTAAAGTGGAAGTGTGGTAAGAGTGCCAATGTCACCTCCCTACACCTTCCATCAATATTCCTCCTCTTCAGCACCCATCGTGCTCAAACGAAGTCGTTGTTCACCACCGCCACGCTAACGAACGATGACAAGCCTTTGAACAGTGAGTCATGTATTTTTACGCAAATTGGCTTCGTTTTTTTTTTTTTTTTTTGGGAAGCTTAAGTTCAGAATTTTAGTGACATTTTACAAGCCTTCAATGTCTTTTTTGAATTTGAATAAGGAAAGTTTTGACCGGAGAGTTTATTCTGCTTTTCTACATCATGAAAGAAGTCTTATTGGACAAAAAAAAAAAAAAACCAAACCTTTTTCTTCGTACATGATACATGTTTTAATATTACACAATTTTATTTATCCATTTTTCGTTTTTAATTTATACAAGTTAGATATCCACCCGCAGCAGCATGCAGGCATTTTTCTACTTTTGAACTAAATGAATTGGAATGTAACAAACATATCAGTGGTTCTTTTCAGTCCTCAAATCATAAGCGAATAGAATCCTCAGAAATTCAATGATGCAACTACAGTTTAGATATATTTCCTGTAAGATTAGACGCAAAATGTAAACTGCTATTGTTTTACACAAACAAATAAGAATTTCCTCTAAGATAAAACCAAAAAATAAAAAATCATTCTAGAAAGTCACATATATCCATACACAAATTTGAGAAGGTTGCTATAATGCCGGTAGATATATTTACTGTAAGATTAAACGCAAAATGTAAACTGCTATTGTTTTACACCAAGAAGAATTTCCTCTAAGATAAAACCAAAAAATAAAAAACATTTGAATTTAATGGTCTGTTTTTGCTATTTTATTTAAATCTAGTGGCCTAGGCAACATTCTATACTTCTCCCCAAATTCAATGCTTTTAGCTTTGGTGCGCAGCATGAAAGTTCGCATGCAACGATTATGTGCAAGTGCAAGATTTTTATCACGTACAAACTAGCTACCTTGTTATCTCCTTTGGAAATTGAAGGCTTTTATTGCAAAAGCGAAAATCACTCCAAAAAGCACGCAAAAACCAACCACCATAAAACCAGCTACACCTAAGAAATCATGCCTATATCCAAGCACTTCCTGAAGAACCTGCTTCACAGGTAACAAGCGATCCCCATCTGAAAGCTTCATTAAGTTATTATCACCACCATACTGGGAAGTCAAGAGACCATAAAGAGTCCAAGCTATTGGGTTGGCCCAGTAATACCATCTCCACCATATGGGAATTCTCTGTTTAAAACAAATAAGTCAACAGATGTAGGAAAGTAGAACGAGGAGCTGTAGATATAAAGGAGAGGGCGAGAGAGAGCAAGCCATAGAAGACATAATAGTAGCAAATAATTCAGGGTTAATTTTTTTATCATGATGTTCAGGTTTAAATTAAGGCTGGAAAATCACTTTAATTTAGCTGATAGCATACATTCATAATCTGAACCATCTATCGAAGAACTCAAGCTCAGATATTCAGCTGCTGTGCAACGAATCTATGACATTTCCATCAAGAGTGGTGAGAGGTTTCAACAATTTAGAGACACTGGTACATAGTGCATACTGCACTATTAGATGACTTCTCCAGTAACGGACAGAAAATGCTATGATGACTGAAATCAATAACATAAATAACTGCAAGATGCAAGTTCTTTCCCAGTTTAGTCTCGCTCTCTCTAAACACAAGAAGCATGTAGGGAATCAAGCTAGACTCGTAATTCTAAAAGCAAAAAAAGAATAATTAGTTATTTACCTTGTGAGGAATCATAAAGCCACTGAAAAGATTCCAAAGCATATAAAATGGAGCAGCAATGATGGCAGCCACATTGTGATTTGGTGTGAGTGCAGTCGTCATCATTCCATAAAAGGTGAAGTATAGCATGGTAAAATACATGAAGAAAGTGTACCAAATAAACTTCATAGCAGTCCAATCAAATGATGCCATGGAATAGAAAATTGTGCAGTATGTAATCGACTGTCCAAACACATAAGGGAATTCAATAATAACCTGCACACAGGAAAGAAATTCAATGGCTGATTTTGGAGTATCGAAAGGTATTTTTGCTTGGAAGGTGGAAATAAGGCCAGTAACAACACCTGAGCAAAGGCAAATGGTAGAGCTGAGTACATCCCTGCAGCTCTCTCCCGATATGAAACAAATCTTTCAACAGAAACAACAGGTTGAACAGCAGTTGCGTTGGTTATTCCAATAAATAAGACTGCTGCATACATGGATCCCATTGCATTAAATAATTCTTGCTCGTTCTCCCTGCAAGAAAAGAAATAAAACATTAAAATGTGATATAGAACATATCTAAATTCTAGACTAAGGAAATACAATGACTTTGATAACTAGAGAGAAAACGAGTAGAAAAAGAAACAACTGATCAAAATCTTTTATCCATTCAGAGGGGCAAGTCTCTACTCTATATTTCTGTTCCTTTTGCTTGCAGCACCTTTAGACCCACATCCATATCATATAATTTGGTGTGGTTAGAAGTTTTCTATGCATGTCAACCTACTACAGTGCTAAATAAAATTGTTCTGATTTCCTTACTTCTATCTACAAAAGAGAGACATACTCAAGTTGGAAAAGGCTCCCAGAATACTTTAGCCATTAAATGTTCATGCAATTAAAACCAGCTAACAGAAATCAAATGGAAACAAAAGGGCAGGATATTGGGGGAGGAACAAAAACATTTTTCAGCTTATGCTAAATGTAGTTTAATTTCCAACGTGAACTTGATAGAAGAATATGTACTTGTACATTATCATACTCTTTGGCAAATAGACCATCAGAAAATGCTCCAAGCACACAAAGTATAGTAGCAAATTACACAATTGCAATACCAAAAGTAACCGAGCATTAAAGCACCCCAACATCATGTAATGTGCAAGAGTTACATAAAGCTATAAGGGATTGCTTCAACAAAGTTTAAGTAGAAAACCTTTTGGAACCAAATCTCCAACATATTGTCCCAAGCATCAATGAGATGACAACAGTATAGAAGAAGCGGACTGCGGTGTATTGTGGGTTTCGCCAATAAGATAGATTTTGCTTCCAAAGACAGGCTAGTAACTGATCAAAAAATGACTGAGAGTACTTGGTTCGAAAGTTCAACTCTTTCGCACTATTACTTGGCTTGCTTAAATTTTCAACCAGCTCCCTATTATGTCTGAAACAAAAGTAGACATCAAAAATTGAGAATGAATAGAGATAGTCCTCCACCAAAGCAAATCAAAACTAAAAATCTCTAGGAACTGAACGTACTGATGTAGATTTGATCTTCGGTAAATTTCAGCGAAGTCCACACCTAGACGGTTTTCTTCAGCTGAAGAAGTAACCTCAAGCATCCAGGCAGCAGGGTTATATCCAGGCCTGATCTTGGGCACTCCTTCAACTGCCTACAAAACAATTGTGTATAGCATATGGATGGATACAACAAAGTTCAAATTTGATATAAGCACAAACATGCCACAGATCACATATGTAAGAGGAATGAAAATGTGTAGTCAGACCTCAAAATACTTGATGAGCTCACAAGACTTGGGGCCAAGAGGACCAGCATATATTAGCTCTCCTCCACGCTTCATAAACAGAAGCTGTAAAGAAAAACATGGAGGATCAGCATATTGATAGATATATTACGAAGGATATAACCTAAACTGCCTCTAGATTTTTCACCAATCTAATTGAAGCATGGAAAGATCTTTAAAGAGAGTGAGACTTTTGCCAACTCTATTCAAGCTATTGGCATGTCATATGTGGCACAAGACCAATGCATTTTATATCCTGTCTAAATACAAAGAAAACAAATACCTCATCAAAGGATTCAAAAATGTCTATGCTTGGCTGATGGATTGTACAAACAATTGTCCGTCCAGTGTTTACTATATTCCTCACAGTTCTCATCACAATGGCTGCAGCTCTTGCATCCAACCCTGAGGTGGGCTCATCCATGAACACTATAGATGGATTGGCAACCAATTCAACAGCAATGGTTAATCTTTTTCGTTGTTCTGTAGATAAACCATTGACTCCAGGTAGACCAACCAATGCTCCACTTAATGGAGTAAGCTCCACAAGTTCCATAACCTCCTCAACAAATGCCTGAAAAGCCCATCCCTCAAAACGTTATATTTTACCCAAGACATCAAATAGCACAAAAATGTTTATAATTACCTGCTGTGTATCCATGTTAACTTCTGATGGTAACCGAAGCCAAGCCGAGAAAAGAAGCGATTCAACAAGAGTCAAACATGGAGAATGAATATCATTTTGCTCACAGTAACCAGAAATTCTTGCAAACGTTTCTTGCTTTTTAGGATAACCAGATATATACATGCTCCCTTCTATGATCCCTCCAGTTTTCCTACCAGCTAAAACATCCATGAGGGTGGTTTTTCCAGCACCACTGACTCCAACCAGTGCTGTAAGGACTCCTGGTCTAAATGCTCCAGTAACATTAACCAACAACTGCAATCTGTCTTCTACTATCCCTTGTTGCTTCAACTCCTGGAAAGATACCAGGAATAGAGATATTTTCATTTCCAAAATATTCCAGAAAATTTATTACATACATAGAAGGAGCAATATACACACCATGGGGACATCCACAAAGTAATTGATATTGCTGAAAGACATGGAAAGAGGCTGAAACGGTAGAACCATCCCTCTTTGTTTGAAATATTTTCCTGCCCAGAAGTTAGGCATAAATTATTTAGCTGCTGTTGATATTCATTAGAAATTAGAAGAAAAGAAATCCAGTATAAAGTTATTAACCATTCAGTGAACCAGAATGCTGCAAATACTCCCTCAGTTCAATAACAACATTTTCTCCTTTCCTTCTCTTGTCTCTCTCTTGCAGCTCCGCCTTGGAGACCACAGCTTGTTGCTTTCCCAAAGCTGTTTAACAATAACAAAGACCTTGATGTGATTACTTCTCTCCTTGTTTGTTGGATAATCCATGTAAAGGAAGTTTAGGGTCAGAAAACTCCTATCAGAATAGTGATGACTTACGATTAAGGTTTGCTAGGAAGAACGCAAACAGCAGATTGAATAGAACTGTATATCCAAGCAGAGCAGCAATGCCAATCCAATACCAGTAGCTCTCTGGAAATAAACTGCGGGCTCTGAGTAGTGCCTCACCTAATGAAAAGTTTGAATTATTCCCAGCTCTCTACATCAGCAAACAAGGAAAGAACAATGAGTTTATAAATTTGAAGCATGAATGCTGACTTAATTAATGGACATAAAATAGATGAATTAGACTCTAAACCAAAGCCACATTCCAATTTGTATTTAGGAGCTTCATGGGTTAGAGGAGTAAACTCAAGGCTACCATAATAAATAAATAAATAAATAAAAAGCTTTCCTTTTAACCAATTGAACACATATTAGAAACATGGCCAGATGAAATTGACAAGAATAGTCCATTTTGTGCTGTAAGTATGTGCTCTGAATGCAGTCAGTTGTTCATCACCATTCATTTTTTTATTTGTCTATAAACAATTATCATGCTGGACGAAAAAATTAAAGAGTGCATTTGGAATGTAGTCAAGAAAGTACTTTAAGGGTGTGTTAGTTTGGAGGGATCAGGGGAAGAATGGATTAGGGAGCCGGGATTGGATGTTCACTTTGGCAAGAAGGATGGAGACCCAAGAAAGGATTGGAAGGATCCTTCTCACTTCCAATCTTTCCGTGCTCATAATTTCCATCCTCCCAATCTGGACAGATTGATTCTCATCATTCTCTTCATTTGTAATTTTCAATGTTCTCTCAATTAGATGGATTGATGATATCCTTCCCGTCCCTTGTTCACCAAATAGATGGATGGATGTTAACTCATCCATCCTTTCTCCTTTTCATCATTCCACTTTACCCCATCCATCCTTTCTCCTTTTCATCATTCCACTTTACCCCTATCCATTCCCTCCTGACAAGCATAGCCTCAAGTCAGATTAACGTAAAGCACAATACTTCAAATCAAACAGTAGGTTTTGTTACATTAGTAACAAAAATATGCTTCAGTTTTCATAGAGTCAAGGAACCTTAAGTCCAAATCAATAATCAATAATTAAACTTGTTGAGATATAATTAACTTATGCATTGAAGAAAAGAATAGTTTTTAAACCCAAAAACTCCAGTGACTAGCAATTTTTCTGAGTAAAAGAAAATGGAAAACTTAAATAATAACTAGTCGATTACAAAGGAAGATGAAATAGATGATCATACAAGTACAACCTTATCCCAAGAATGCCCAAGGAATTCATTCACTGAAGCTGCATTTTGAGCATACATCAAAGGCGAGACCCAAAAACCCCATATCCACCAGCTTGGGATGCGATCTGTCACAGCAAGCCAAAAGAGTGAATAACATAATATGTAAGTAACCACAACCTGCAAAAACATCAATTACCTCTCGAAATGATGTATCCTCCAAGAGCCATCACAACCAACATGGCAAAAGATCCGAAGGTGTTGGCAACTATCATATGACGGCCCAAGGATCCAATTACACGAAAGAGAGCTATAGACATTTGGTGCAGAGAGAAGTATAACAAAAACTGTCGAAAAAATCTGCAGATTGCACATGAAAACTAGAGCAGATTAACAAATTAAAATAACAAAATACATTCCAAGGCAACCATGAAAATTGGAAGAAAACTCTATGGAAGATTATAAACTACCTGGTAATGTTAGGATCATATCCAATCACATAGTATGTGACTGCCACCCAGAGACCAGACTCCATGAGTGAAATTGGAATACTTAAGACCCAAGAAGGAAGTGTATATGCCCAGCTTGTGTAGAAGTGCAAATCCCTGTGCTTGTAGAGCACCGGAAGCTTGGCTACCAACATTGAAACCTCCGTAAAGCCATTAAAAAGAATAATGACCATGGAGAAGTATATTGCCCCAACAAACAAACCTCCATCATAAATTGTGTCATGACGCATGGTTGTGCGGAAAAAAACACTCATTGTGATCAAGGCAACAAGAAGAAGCTGCAAAATGATTCATAGAACTTGTATAAACTAGTAGTAAATATGTAAATTTATAACCACATACATCTTTCTGATCATTAACACAGAAAAGCTCAATTAAAAGGAAGATTAAAAAGGAAGAAACAAAAGAGGTCTCATGATTCAAAGGGAGTGATTAATAACCAGCTCTCATCATCAAAAAGTTGACATTATTAGTACTCTTAAGCTCAAAGAGAGAATTCATTTTGCTTGTCACCAAATAGTATATTATTCCAACAAAAAAGTTGGTAACATTACCTGAATAAATTTGAATACATAGATAAATGAATTCCTTTTCATTAGCAGCTTCTGCCAGTTAAAGCTGGTCTTGAAAAGTTCACTTTGTTTTACACCGAACCGGGAAGTTGACAATGCTGCTGGATGATTGTAACGTTTGTCAAAAGGAACTGCCAGTTCCTCAGACAAACTTCTACCAATATGAAATGAATGAAAAGCTTCAACAAACTGCCCTGGAGGTATATATCGATATGGGCGGTTTGGAACAGACCAATACTGCTCTTGGTCCTTCTTTGAAATTACCTGTATAATGAATTACAGTATGATAAATACAACAGATATTGGAGAAGAAAACTCACATCCAAGCTCTTTACTACTTACTTCTTGCAAGAAGTCTGCCACGTTTTTTCTCTCAGGGCACCTAAATCCCACAGATGAAAAGAAATCTAGAGCAGCATCACGGGGTCCCTGGTACACAATCTGGCCCTCACATAAGAGCATAACATCATCAAATAGTTCATAAGTCTCGGGAGCAGGTTGCAGCAAAGAAATTACAGTGGTCCCATCAAGTGCATGAGTTGAATGCCTTAAATATTTGATGATTTGATATGTAGTAGAACTATCAAGCCCATTGGAGATTTCATCCATGAACAGCACTCTAGCTGGACCAACTAGTAATTCACCTGAAAATCACACACATTTATATACAGCATTCTGGTAACACAAGAATGAAGATATCTTTGAAAAAAAAAAAAATATGAAGAACAAGAAAACAAAGGTCAATATATGGACCTGTTGTAAGTCGCTTCTTCTGGCCCCCGAGATCCCTTTAAGCATTTCATCACCAACCAACGTGTCAGCACATATGTCCAAACCTAAAATCTTTGGCAGATATATTTTATTACTTCAGAAAATTTTTAGAAACAAGACTCAGCATCTACTTGGTAGATAAATTGCTCCACACAAGCTAATTAACCTACCATGCTGCTTTAAAGAGATAATTTTTCCTTTTAAATTACCGCTAGATTGCCAACAACTTTTACACGAACTAGCATGGATGGTTAATCCTAAGCAAGTCAAATTACATGTCAAAGGTTCCAGTATTCAACATTTCAGTTGGTAAATAGCATAACTATGGATTTCAATTGCTTACTCCCATCACAAACAAGACTTCAATGAAAAAACAAGGTTGCTTCGCTAAAAGATTTTGGAACACTAGACTAACATTTTTTCTACTTTCTTGATTATATGGGCTTAAAGGCATAAATAAGAGCAAAAACATCTCATACTCCAATTGATATGAAAAGGCCACTGGCAGAAGAAGACAGCACAACTTTGACACCGCTTGAATTCAGAATACAATACAGTGATTATAGAGCTTCAAAAAAAGCAGAAGAACCAAGGATTAACTAGCACCAGTCCAGGGAAACATTGTACAGACTAGTTGGAAGATCCCTTTTTCAATAAATTCAGTTCATAAATAAGTTTAATCCATGCTCAAAAAACAGTTTTACAGTCCTTTTCAACAATATTATTTCTATGCCACTTTGTGAGAGTAAATTTCTGCACACAATATGCACAAGAAACAGTTTAAGAAGTCTACGTTATTACCTTTCAAACATCTAAGGCAGTCAAACTCATTAAGTACATTTCCATGCTAGAAAGTAAATTCTCTTTTAAACTTCTATGGTTCCCAAGCATACAAATGAAGAAACTTTAAAGATACATACAAATAACAATAAGGCTTTCTCTTCCAAAACTATCGTTTTGGAGATCAAATGAATTTTTCAATATGAGAGTTGTGTACTCTGAAAGAGCAACCAGCCAAGGGATTTTTAAAGAATATAACTGCATTAGGCTTACTGTATACGTAAACAGTAACCGGGATCTAGAGAATACCTTCATTATGTACTCCACCACTAGGCTTGTCTCCTGCCCCCCAAAGCTAACGACTAGAGAAAAAAAAATGCAGTGAAGATCAAAATCAGCAACAAATTATGAGGCAAGATAAACTGTCTGAAACAAGCTTACAATTTAAGTACCTTAATAAATATATCAAGATCTTCATCAGGCTTTATCCCTGCAATCTTCTCTCTTCTTGCAAGCTCCAAAAGCATATCTGACACGAGTGTTTGTAATCAGCATCTAAGTAACCAAGCACTGAGGTTTTAGCTCAGATAATCAAGAGTAGGTGTTAATTTTTGAGATAAGTAGGTGGCAACAGCAAAGTGGAAGTAGGGTGGAAAAAAAGGACAATGAAGAAAGCAAGTAAAGCAGCATAGTCATTGACATGATTTTTTAAAGCTTAGGTAACCAGGCACTGAGGTTTTAGCTCAGATAGTCAAGAGTAGGTGTTAATTTTTGGGATAGGTAGGTGGCAATGGCAAAGGGGAAGTAGGGAGGAAAAAAAGGACAACGAAGAAACCAAATAAAGCAGCATAGTCATAGACATGATTTTTTAAACCTTACCATATTTGGACCCAACACCTTGACAGCGTCCTGCAAATTCTAGAGTTTCTCTTACAGTCATCTCAGCCACATGCCAATCATTCTGACTGACATAAGCCGATGTCCTTGGAGCAACAAACTCATTTAGACTGTGTCCATTATATGTAATTTTTCCGGACATCTTCAAGGCAAATGTAGAGTAAATGAGCAATAAGACAAGATATTCAGCAAGAGATTCATATTAATTGAACTACAGCTATGACTTCCAATCATATATAACGGGTGACACAACATAACATCATTCCATAGCTGAATGAGTAATGTGATTCCTCCATGCAATGGAAGTATAATTTTGCACAGGACCTCAAAATTTGGTTCATCTTCATCATGTGGCATAGCTCCATTGATGAACCTATACCCGTGACAATATGAGAGTCCAGAATTGCTTAACGTGCTTATTGTTGCCCATTATTTATAAGAACCCTATTATGTTAACCTAACAGATGTGCGGGTATTGGAGAATTGCACCTAAAGTCTTCCTATTTAAATTACTTGTAAGATAAACCATATCCTAGTACCTGTAAATTATTTCCAAGACGTCCAGCAAGAGCTAAGAGTAGTGTTGTCTTTCCAGAGCTTGGGGGACCCAACAGAAGCGTCAATCTACAAAACATATACTTACACCCAAGACCAGAAAGAAGGAATGCAACCCGAAAATAACCAACTGATCCTACTCATGAACTCAAAATATGCACAAAACACGCATACCTAGAAGGTCTGATAATCCCACTATTATCATCCAAAATGGTTAGCTTGCTTCTGTTTCCTCGGTATATCCGCAATTGCCTTAAAAGTGCCTTTTCAAAACGTAGAGGTAAATAGATCAAATGAAATACAACAATATTCAAATAATTGAACAAGGAAATAGATAGCCAAAGAACCAGACCTCTAGTCTTAATCAAGAAAAATGATGCACGTACAAGCTTTTTAACTAACATTATTATACCTCAGTCATGTTGAAGATAAAGTTGGGAATGGTTGGAAGTGCCCTACTTCCAACATGGACAAAAGATTCAACTGTCAAATTCTGAACACGAACCTCAATCTTTGGAAATTCCAAACGTACTCTGTGAAATTATAACAAATAGAAAAAGCAATGTAAATCCAAAAATTAAAATTGCATAAATTACGTTGAATTTTTTAATTAGATCACGATACTTAAAAAATTAAAGATCAATATGGAAGAGTTTTGAAGTTGAGAGCCCACCATGCAAAAACATTTAAACAGTCATTTATAACGGGTTTAATTCAGAAAAATCAAACCCAATATGATATAACATTGCGGTATTGATTCATTACCGGATATTGTTAGTTCAGAATATGTGTTTTTTTGAAGGTTTTGAAAAAATAATTGAAAGTGATGGTTATATCTACTCAAAAAGCTATGAATTAAAGGTTAAAAAAATATATCAAGTTCCTTAAGTTTTTTGTTTGAATAATCTCCCGGATTGCCTTGTAATTATGAAAGCGTATTTATCTTGATCTAAAAGCATTATTCTATAGTAGTGTGATCAAGTAAAACTTTAAAATGGTGTCATTTCATGCCACAAAGTTACAAACAAATCTCGCATTCCATCGACAATTTATCATTATAAAATAAACATCACCCGGCCAATAAATGATTATTCATTTTTTTAAGAATGAATTATTTATCAATTTACAAAATCCCTAGCAAATGTCAAAACTGAAAACTAATACCTACATAGATTTAAAAGCAAATCCGTGGAATTGAACATAATTAAAATCGGTCTTATTAATTATAGGAAAATTAAATTTTCAAAACTGTTTATGTTCTAAAATTTCCATACGAAAGGTCTATATCAATTACTATCAAACAAATTAAATGGTTAGTTGCAAATCCAATCAAAAAATGATATCAGAATGAGCGGAAAAAACATTTCAGAATCCACTATATATTAACAGCAAATTCAAATGATATAGTAGCTATGCTAGGTTAGGTGGATACGCTTACTCAAAGGTCTTCCAAGTTTGTTTCGACGTACATTATAAGAAAAAAGAAAAACAAAAAAGTTTATTTCAACTTCCAAACAACCATATCCAAAACTGATCAACTAATTGCTAAGAATTGCTTATCAAGCAACCAAACTCAAACCTTGTCAATTATTTTACTGATCTCTATTCAAGAGTTTTTTCTTAAAAGTATGTACTTCTAAATTTTATTTATTAAAACAAAGTAGTTTTAATCTTATTTATCAAAACAAGATAGTTTTTGCCACATAGATCAAATCACCTACACGTGTCGAGTCTTTTTTAATGCTAAATTTACTAATAATTTTATAAAATTTTAGAAACAATATCATTTACAATACATCAATTTTATTAATTATGATTACCAGATAAAATCCGATACAAGTAGACTAAATCCTATCAGTTCATCAACAAGATTTATAAACAATTGCTCTAATAAAATTAAAATAAATAAACCCTTAAGAACCAATAACTCTATAGTAATCTTTCTCTATAAAAATTAAAATGACTAAATAATCAAAGAAATGGGGCTAAAGGGTTAAGAAACCAAAATCCAAAACCCGTAAATTACAATACGCTTATTAATCAGTGTGTCATTCAATCCAATAACATTTTTGTTCAAGTGCATCAAGCATCCCATATGCTCTATGGATGTCATTGTCAATGTTGACGAGCCAACGACATGGCAGCCTTGGCAACCACTGTTACCAGACATGTGGCAATAAGTTGGGGTCTTGTGGATTCCCAGGACTTCTTAACCCTCAATAAAGAAAATCATACTTTGGCGAACAATAATTTTGTTTTGGGTTTTCTTAAGTTTTGGGATTTTGTGTGTGAGTTTGTTAACTTCAGTTCTATTTTTCTTTTGATGACGTTGGTATTGAGCCATTTTTTTACAGAAAGAAATTATTAATACAGTTACTAGTTCTTTAAAGTTTATTTATTTTAACTTTACTAGAATAATTACTTTTAGATCTTGTCAATGAGCTGATGCGATTAGGTTTACGAGTATTTAATTTTATTTGATAATCATAATTAATAATGCAGATGTATTAAAATTTTGTAAAATTATTAGTGAATTTTGTATTAAAAAAAAAATTGACAGATTTTATCCACATAACAAAAACTACATTATTTTGATAAATAAGATTAAAACTATCTTATTTTAATAAATAAGATTCAAAAGTACCCTCTTTTTTTAAAAAATCCTCTATTCAAAATCCTAACACAAGGGAAAGAAGATTTACATACGCGTCAAATCGCTTTCGCATCCGGTCAAAGAAGCGCTCAGGGTCGTCATCTACGGAGGTGATCAAACGTTCAAGCACGAGCTTCCGCTCTTGCACCTCGAGTTCACTCAGATCGATTTCTCTATGATCACCAACAACATTCCTGAAAATGCCTCTCCTTACTCGAGCATAAGTAGGCAGACGCTCGAGGGCTGCCCACCGGAGCGCCTCCTCGTCCTCTCCCTCCTCCCTAAACGACGGCGCTCTAGCAAATAGATTCTCAGCCGAATTCCACATTTTACTTAGAAAAACAAAAAAAAAAAAAATAGATCGCCTTTAGATCTAAAACAAACGAAACCCGCGATTTTAATCTAGAGAGAAAGAGAGAGGATGTGAGCTGTGCTTATTGTGTATGAGCGTGAGCGTGAACTACTTGTAGTCCACAAGACTGGTAGTTGGGTTCTGCATTAATGGCTAGCTCTCTCTCTCTCCCTCTCTTTCTATACACCATCTTCTCTTTAGTGAGAGTCGTCTCATCTTGGGTGTACGTTAAAGTGGATCAGAGATGGCTCATTAATAGCCGCGGGAAAGACAAACTTGGCGGAGTTCTTATTTATACTCGCTCGTCTATTGAACTATACACTCATTCGCCTTCTTGGCTCTACACGTGGATTAAAGTTACACGTGTTAGCCGGCATTCTGATTTGCGTTCAGCGCTTTCATTTATCTTCTTTCGTTAGATTAGTTACATGGACTAAATTTTAAATTAGTCCCTTTAGTTTTTTAAAAGAATTAAATAGTCCTTTTATTTTAATAATTAATTAATTAGTCTCTTTTTAACTTAATTTGTAACTTAATCCTTTTTATTTTTTATTTTTTTATTTTTGATAATAGATTGGAAAAAAAAAGAAATATGAAAAAAAATTGATGAGAAGCATACATTTTATCGAAATAATTAATATTAAAATAATTATGATCAATACTTATCGAATAACTAATTAATTATTTTTTGAATTAAAAAAATTATTTAATTCAATTAAAAAAAATATTTAATTCATTTTGACAAAACAAGAAAGAAAAAAAATTCTTGCTCCCCTTGATAACTCACTCTCCCCGTAAATAAAACAATATTTGTCGTCTCTCCATGTATGTATGGTATGTGATACTATCTATTTAATTCATGTTGATTTTTTCAAAAATGCTCTCTCCATTTTTTTTTCCTTTTTTTTTCTTTTTTTTTTGTACTAATAAAAATAACATTTTTTTCTTATTTTCTATTTTATTTGTTGATGCTGAAGGCAATGACAGTGACATTTATTTGCTCTATCATGCGTCTTGGTCTTTGTTGCAATTTCTTCAAAATCTATAAAATCGAACAAGTATCTCTGCCAATAATTGTCAAAAAAAATAAATAAATAAAGTATCATAAGAATAGGTATCCCTCATGCAAGGGAAGTTGGAGAATTTTAATTCTTTTTTATAAATAGATAGGTCATCTAATTTGTTTAGTCTTTTTATTTTATAGTTAAGTGTTTATGTTTCGTGTTTATGAAATTATAAATGCAAGTATTTCTCTTCTACAATAAATATAAAAAAGGTAATTTGTTTATGTCATAGTTTTATATTAGTTTTTTTGTCCACGCTATTCTACGGGTTGGATAAAACATATAAAATCATTTAAAGAAATCATTTCAGTTTGATAGTCTCGTTTTATGGTGTGAATATATAAAAATATATGAAATTAAAAGTAAAAAAAAATTATTTATAATTTTTTAATAAAAAAGTTTGTATTTAACTATTTCTTATTTGTGTTTTCATAATTTTTTCTTTAAAAAAAGGATTTATCCTTGTTAATCCATGGATTATTAACTAAAAAAAATTAAATATTTTTTTAGAAAAAAGCTTTAGTATTTCATAAGATTGTGTTGAAAAAAATAAATAACAATTATTAAAAACTTATATAGAATTGACCAAATAATTTTTTTTATTTAATGTTGATGAGAATATTAGTTTTTGAAAAAATATGAATGTAATTTATATATATATATTTACAAAAGAATGAATAATATTAAAATAAAAAACTATATTAATTTGACTTTCAACTATTAATTAATTAATTTGAGTTTTTTTCTAAAAAACCAAGAAAAATTTATTTGAAATATACTTTTAATCTAACAATGTATTTTAGATAAATTATATATATATTAATCATGCCACTATAATTTAAAATTTATCTAAATATATTTTTCAAAAGAAAAAATAATCATATTCTAAAAATTTATTTCAAAATCCACACAAATAGAAGAATAAATCAAAATTGTCAGTAAATATAATTGTAAATTAATTGGATGAGAATTTTAAAAAAATAAAAAATTAAAGTAGTAAATTTTAAATAATTTAAATAATTTAAAAACACACTAAAACAAAATGGGAGTAAATCACAATATGTTTGAAATTGAAAAAAAAAAAAACAAAGAGAGAATTTACAAAAATGACAAATTAATATAGTAAATTTTAAATAACGTAAGAAAAAAAACTAAGTAAAAATTATTTGAAAAATAATTTTAATCTAAAAATTTATTTCAAAAAAATTATATATATTAATCATGCCACTATAATTTAAAAATTATCTAAATCTATTTTTTCAAAAAATATAATAATCATGTTCTAAAAATTTATTCCAAAATCCATACATATAGAAAAATAAATCAAAATTATCAGTAAATATTATTTTAAATTAATTAGATGATAATTTAAAAAAATGATAAATTAAAGTAGTAAATTTTAAATAATAAAAATAATTAACAAAAAACACTAAAACAAAATGGGACCAAATCATAATATAATCAAAGTTTGAAATTTAAAAAAAAATAAAGATAGAATTTTAAAAGAAAATGACAAATTAATTTAGTAAATTCAAAATAAAAAATAAAAAAATTATTTGAAATACACTTTTAATTTAAACATGTATTTCAAAAATATATATATATATATATATATATATATATATATATATTAATCATGCCACTATAATTTAAAAAATTATTTAAATCTATTTTTCAAAGAAAAAACAATCATATTCTAAAAATTTATTCTAAAATCCATACATATAGAAAAATAAATCAAAACTGTCGGTAAATATAATTTTAAATTAATTGGATGAGAATTTAGAAAAATGACAAATTAAAGTAGTAAATTTTAAATTATAAAAATAATTAACAAAAAACACTAAAACAAAATGAGAACAAATAACAATATAATTAAAGTTTGAAATTGAAAAAAGAAAGAGAATTTAAAAAAAATGACAAATTAAATTATTAAATTTTAAATAATAAAATTAATTAACAAAATGAAACCAAATCACAATACAATTAAAGTTTAAAATTGAAAAAAAAAAGTATAGAAAAATTGAGGATCAAAGTGTTACAAAAATACTATGATAGTGAAAGGAATAATGATTTATGAGTGTGTGGATAGTGTTTTAAATAGTGAATGAATAGTAAAAACATGTTTTACTTTAATTTTATTGATAAAGTATTAAAAAAGAACTCGGTATTCGGTTTGAGTTTTCCATGCGAATGCATGAGGCCTTCGTTTAGTAATTACCACAAATCATCGTGTTACTTCAAATAAGTACAATTTTATTATTTTTATGAGGTAATTTTAAATTTTCTTAATCATCATTGTAATCTAATTCTATATACAAGCAATATCTAAATTTTAGATTTATATGTAAATTATTAGAAAAAGTAACAAATTGTATGCATACATATGGAAAAAATAAGAATTATCATGTGATGATACAACAATTATCCTAATTAATTGGGTATTACAAATATTAGAAAAATAAGTAATTATATAAAAGTTAATAGTCTCGCCCTATCTTTAAAAAGTACATGAACTACATATATTTATATAACACGAAATATATTATAATGCAACATTTTTTTTAAAAAAAAAGGTTCCAATCATTTCATGAGATTGCCTTTAAAAACTTATGAGTTATTTGGTATCTTTTTTATTTTTTGTTTTTAATTTTTTTTTTAAAAAAACTCGTTTGGTTAGTTATTTTATATTTTTTTTAAAAATGCACTTAGATTCATTTAGATACTCAAGTTATTAATAAGACTGATTTCTTGACTCTCTAGACTCAAAATGCAAGTGCACTAAAAGCAACCTAACCTCGATATGACGTTTTGAAACCTTTTACTCGATCTAGGCTTGATCCTTGAGGTTTCAAACTAGACCTAATACATCCCTAACTCGACCCTACTCTATAAACCTAGCATCCTAGACCCAATAATGGCCCAAACCCTAAATGTTCCGGACCAAAATCTTGGTCTTAGACAAAACCAGAGTGATCCAAAACCCGATCTTGGCCCAAATGCCAAAACACCTAAACTCGATCCGAGTTCGACCTTACTTTAAGGCATTCCAAATCTTATCCCAACATGAACTTTGAGGTCCTCGAACTCTTTGGATCCTATCATGGCATTGTCTTAAGCTTAATTAGAACCTTACACTTCATCCCGATCCGAACCCCGAGTTGCTCCAAAACTTGGTCCTAATTAGGCACGTAAGTGTCTAAATCTAATCCGGACCCAAACCCTAGTAGCTTGAGATATGGTCTCAACCTACACATTTAGCGCCTTGGGGAGCTAGTCCTACCCAAACTCTTGGCACCCTAGACCCCGACTTAGATCTCAACCCAAATATTGGATGCCCCGAACATAGTCCTTAACCAAACCCTAAACACCACAAACTTGCTCTATTTTTAACTCTAAGATGCCTCGCAATAGGTACTCGACCAACTCTACGAGCCCTATATCTAAACCTTGAGCGCCTTAGACACGGGCCTAGACCGACTCCCAAGCATCTCAAACCAGCTCGAACTTGAGGGAGGGGCCTCTAACCCCAGTACCACTCAAAATATGAGTCATTAATGGCCAAGACTAAGTCTCGACTCCAACCTCGTTCATCCAAGATTGATTCTAGGTGCTCCAAACTTGGTTCGACTCGACACCCTAAGTGTCCCAAGCGTAGCTCGGATCGAATCTCGAATACCTCAAACCAAGTTCTAGTCCGAACACCGGACTTGATGCATGCCCATTTTCCGACTCTCAAGTCTAACTTAACTTCAAAAATATATGTTAATAGTGTAAAAATATATTTTGATTTTTTTTTCAAAAGCTTTCAAATTTTGCAGTCAATTTTATTTTTTTCAAAAACAAAAAATAAAATGAACAAATTTTTAAATCTTATTTTCATAAATTGGAAAACAAATACATAAAACTAAA